AGCGAATATAAGTGCTCTCCAGTGACCAACGGGATAGATAAGTTCTCTCTTTCTCTCTCTCCCCTATTTCTTTTTCTGTTCGAACTCATTTTTTTATCTATTTGGTTTTTTTTTCTTTTTTGATTTCCCCCCGTTCTCTCATTTTTTATTTTGAATGGTTCCCTGCTCCGTTTTCTCTTTTTTTTCTCCTGGTTTGAACTGAACCCCTCCCTCTGAATCCTTTGGTTCAAACTCTCATTTTTATGGCTGCTTGTTAATGTATTTGGTGAAGTCTTCATTCAGTTGGTGGAAGTTGCAGGAGGCTAGGGCATAGGGTGTGGCTTCCGAATTCTTCGGGATTGGTCTCGTATAGGTTCCTGATTTTATGGGATGCTAATTTCCTTTTTTTATTTTCTTTTTTATTTTATTAGATTTCGACCTGATTTGGTTGATTTAATGACGATGCAAAAGGGATCATCGGCGGAGGTAGCGACATCGCAGAGCTCTGGTTGGAAATGACGAACGACGGGAGCTGGTCCGGCTTGGGCAACGACGACGGCGTACGCCTCTTCCCTTATGCTGGCGGCAGGTGATTAACCCTAAGTTAGAGTTAACCAAAATGTTAACATTATGGACCATTAGGGTTTTCAAAAGTTGGGCATGTTTAGTCTTGTAATTTGGGCCTACTGGTTTGGGTTGTTGTATGGGCTTGATTGAGGTTGTATTGAGCCCTATTGGGTCTTGGATTGGGCCTATCAGTTCGTTCATGTTTGTAACATGTAATAATAATAATAATAATAATAATAATAATAATAATAATAACAGTTATAACTTGGACAAAATCGGGTGTCTACAATGAACACACAATAGAATTGGCAGAGGTAGCTGCCTTCATGGATAGGTTACGATTAGCAAGGATGGAACCACTCAACTATTGAAGGGGACACAATATCCATTCTGAATCATATTGCAAATCAATGTAATGATATTTCGATAATAGGATTGATGCTCAACGAGGCAAGTGGATTGGTGGAAGACTTATCGACTCTCAAGGTCCACTACACCAACCGCGAGACTAATCGAGTGGCACACAATCTATTAAAATGGGTCTTGTTGAGGACCAATCCTTTCTTTTTCCTTTTTTAATGAATTAGAATGTATTAAGAACGATATTATATTTGTTGCTATTGGAATATGAATGAAATTATACTATTATAGCTAAAAACAAATAAGGCAACATAAGATGTTGGGTTTATGACCTTTAAAAGATATGAATAAAACAAAATGGTAGCCCAAGAAAAAGAAGCTGACGTAGAAAAGGTTGCCAACTAAAAATGTTATCTTTAGGTTACAATTGAAAATTTTATGAAAAATATTACATTTTAGGTTATGTCCAACTTCAAATATTATGCTTTTGAAAATATTTTCAGTCACACCCAATTTCTATCGTTTTTTAACCTTAAATGAGGATGTCATATTTTAAACTTTCGCTAAATAAAATGCTAAATAGTTTTACAACAACGATGGGAGGAGAGAAGGGAATGATGGTGGGATTTTGAATTTTGATTTGTTATGGGATAAAATTTTTAAATGAAGATTAAATTGATCAAATTTATAAATGTTAAAGACTAATATTTAAGGAATTATTTAAAATTAAAATAAATTAATAAAATATGTAAATATTAAGAATTAAATATATTATTATTTTAGTTTAAAAAATATCACATCATCTTTCGTTATTTTTTTTACTATTATTATTTAATATAAAAAAATACTTAAATTATACATTTTTTCCAATTTAGGTGTTCAAACTTTTCTTCGATCAATGTAGGTGCCTAATGTTACAATTTTAGGTGCATCAGCCATAACAGACGTTAAAAATATTCGTTAAAAATCAGTCATTTATTCAAAATGTGACAGGTAGTGTGTTTATACATTTTTTGAAAAAATTAAAAGAAACTTAAAATTATCATTATTTTAGAAAATTTAATTTTTTAAAATCTAAGAAAAAAATTCACAATCCTTAATCCTAAAGTATCATGCCTAATTACCAACCATCTTCTTTTGTTGTCACCCTTGTCGACCTTCTACTCCTCCTCGTCGCCTACTTACCTTTCGTCGACAGTAACCCATAAACCTTAATCCAAAAATCCTAAACCCAAGTCCCTAAAACCAAACCCTATATCCCAAGACACACATCCATCTCAATCGACATGTGAGTGGGTGATCGCTGACGGTGATGATAGTTGATGACGAAATTGAAGGAATATTTTGAAATTTCATGAATGTTAGGTATTTTCTGAAAAATAAGAAAAGTTGATGTTCTTTTTCAAAAATTTATAAATTAAATTTTTTGAAAATAAAAGAAATAAAAAAAATAAAATCAGTGTCAAACATTGAGTGGTTGATGGACTTTTAATGAATTTTTAATGTTTGCTACAACTTAGATACATAAAATAGTAATTTTGGTAATATTAAACACCTACATTAACTTAAAAAATATATATCTAAAAAATATATATAATTTGAGCAATTTTTTTATATTAAACCTAATATTAAGGAAGAATTTATCAATGCGTACATAAATACATCAGTGCCTGTTGACAAAACCAATGCCAAAGTGGTTGGGTCCAACTCACAACCAGAGATTTTGGATTGGGTGAGTGTCTAATGAGGCCAGTTTTCCCCATTCGGAAATTACATTGATTTGTTTCACTTAGTAAAAACATTTAGGCAAACTACATAAAACACCTAGAAATAGACTCCCAACATTACCCATAGCAAAAGCAGATATTTCAAACAATAGAACAAATCCTCCAACATAACTCACTTTGAATGTAATATTGTAAGAAAAACAGAACATAAATAATAGTAGGAAAAAATGTATAGCATTAAGAGCAGTGAAAAAGTTGGATGGTGCATTCAAAACTGCAATAAAGATTTCAACTGCCCTCATTATCTGGATACCATACCACATCCCCACATGGGTAGCTGTCAATAACTCAATTGTAAATAAATACCGACACATTTTTTTAATATAACTACCGATATCCGATTTACTAGTCAATTAGTCCAGATCGAGTACTATGAGAAGAGATTGACCATACCAACTTAGTTTGCTCCATATACAAATGTCTGGATTCAAACCTCTGACATTGATTAAAGAATCTAATGTCTCATCTCATTAGACCAACTGATTGTTGGTGTGTGTATTCTTGGTCTCTACTAGATCAAACAATATGTTTTCTATAAAATAACGTTTCTGTTATTAATGTTTAAAGAAATTTATATTTTATAAGAAACATCATCGATTTTTTAAAATTAACGAGGACGCTTAGTTTAGTGAAACTTGCACAGTTTTTTTCTGGTCCAACACAGCTAGCTGAAGAGAGGGAGCGTCGAAGATCTCTCGTTCCATAGTTTTATCTCGACCCATCTGAACTAATAAATCAGTTTCCTTGACATGCTGAAATTCTACTTTCAATTCACATGGAAGAAGATTATGGATCAATTTTATGAGCGAGAACTCTTGACGAATGTTAATTGTTTGTTTAAAATTCTTCACAACCTCCATGTTATCTGATTCAACGAGTACCTATTTTATTTCCAGGACCTAAATTAGCTTTAAAATCTCGAATACAACCCAAGTTCCGCTATAATTACCTAGAAACATCCCAATTTTATTGTAAAGCCAGTCAACCGGTATCCACAATTATCCTCCATCCAACCAATAACATTATAGACTTATTATTACTCATTTATTATTATCAATAGAATAAAATAATAATAATAATGTAATGCATTAACAAAAAAAAAAGATTAATATTTAATTTAATTATTGAACTTTAGTTATAATATTGATTATAATTTTATAAAATTTTAAATTTAATATTTAAATCATTTAAATAATTATAAAAATAGAAATATATGAATTTTCAAATTTATTTTGAAAATCAAATAAGTATATAAAATTTTAAAATATGTATAAAATTATTTACAATCATAATAATCTATGTAAATTTTATAAAAATCTAGAAAAATATAGTACTTGAGTTATATCCGCTATTTTTAAGGATTTTAAATACTTTAGTATTTTTTAATTATAAAAAAAAGGGATAAAGAATTTTAAATTGAAGCATGGTAATCAAGAGATGGTATAAAACTGGATGTAACTCTAGTGTTAAAATTTTCTTTTATTTTTAAGTAATTTATACAAAGGTAAAGTACACAAATGGTCCCTAATTATAGGGTATTGCTTTATTGAATCGTCGACTATTAAAAGCTATAAAACAGTCCTTCGACTATAGGCTATTGCTTTGTTGAGTCTCTCAACTATTAAAACTTACAAAATGGTCACCCGACTATCCATATGTTCTAAATCCATCCTTTTTCGATAAAAAATTATGGTTGTCTGAGTTGGATGTTAACATACTGATTGAGATATGCTAAAATCCGATCCCAAAATCTCAAACAACTATCATATCTCGGATACCATGTTAACGTCTAGCTCAGGCGACCTTTATTTTTTTTACTGAAAAAAGGATGATTTTGGAACATATAAATAGGTGGGTGATCATTTTGTAACTTTTAATAGTCAATGGACTCAACAAAGCAACACCATGTAGTTATAGGACCATTTACTCAACAAAGCAACACCACATAGCTAGAGGACCATTTTGTAACTTTTAATAATCAAGGGACACAACAAAACAATGTCCTATATTTGGGGGACCATTTGTGTACTTTACCCTTTATACAAATATGTATAATTCTATATAATTTTTTAATAAATGTATATATATATTTTTAAAATTTATATATTTATTTGGTTTTAAATTTAAAATTTGATTATTTATTTCTAATTTTATAACCTTTTTTAATTTGAACTGTATACATAAAAAGAAAATCGTACATGCACCCACCAAGGAAGGATGAGTAAATGCACCAACGAAGCATGAGTAAATGCAGTGTCAGAGCTGCCAAATAGTGCGTATCTCCGTTGTATATATCTCGTCTCTCACCCTCTGGTTTTGCTCACTCATCAACCAAAAAATCACAGCAAAAGGAAAAGAAGGCAATGTCGAAATCAGCAGAGGAAGAGAAGCAACAAAAGGCTTTTGGTTGGGCTGCCACAGATAAATCTGGAACCCTCTCCCCTTTCAATTTCTCCAGAAGGTATACTAATTTATCTCATCTCTTCTTCTTTCTCCATAAGAACTCCTTCCATTTCTCTTTTGTGCTGTTTTTTTAGCCGTTTACTCATCGTGTTCGTCTGGCTACTGTTCACGTGTGTGTTGTGGTTGATTACTAACATTAATGCAAAAATATAAACCTGACTGATGATTAGTTGTAAAATAATATATGAAAAGATGCAACCTTTGGATTTTTTAATACATAAACCTTCTATTAGTGGTTTAGATAATTGATTGACCTTTATTAAATTTACCGTACACCCTTTAATGATGTTGTTGCAAATATTTTATACAAATACTAAGAAATTTGAAGGAAAATTCGAGTGATGATGGTTGTTACGAATTTTTTTCAATTCTTTTTGCAGGGAAACTGGTGATGAGGATGTCACTTTAAAGATTCTCTATTGTGGAGTGTGCCATTCAGACCTGCATGTTCTAAAAAATGAATGGGGTTTCACCTCTTACCCTGTTGTTCCTGGGTACGATACTTAAACTCACATGTATTGTAAATTATGATGCTAATCTGTAGTGCTAAGCTGTGTTTTATGGTGATGTTTATTCTCTTTTTGTATCTGTGTTATTTATGATAGAACACCGCCGACCATAAGTAATATTTGTGTTATCTAGATGTGCTTAAGTTAGCTCTTGACTGGTAACAAATGAATGATGTTTGTTTCTGCAATAATTCCTCAGTAGTTCTTAAATGTGCACAGCAGTTCCATGTTTGGCTCCTGGAACGTGCATAAATTTTGCATATGGTGTTGTTCTGCAGGCATGAAATTGCTGGTGTTGCTACAAAAGTAGGGAAGAATGTGACAAAATTCAAAGTTGGCGATCGGGTTGGGGTTGGTGTTCTGGTTGGCTCCTGCAAGACATGTGAATGCTGCCAGCAGGACCTGGAGAACTATTGCCCTCAGATAATATTCACCTATAACTCTCAAAATCCAGATGGAACGAAAACTTATGGTGGATATTCGGATATGATTGTGGTTGACCAGCGCTATGTGCTACGGTTTCCTGATAACTTGCCACTGGATGCGGGTGCACCATTGTTATGTGCAGGGATCACAGTGTACAGCCCTATGAAATATTATGGAATGACAGAGGCAGGAAAGCATCTCGGTGTTGCTGGACTTGGTGGGCTTGGTCATGTTGCTGTGAAGATTGCTAAGGCCTTTGGGTTGAAAGTTACTGTCATCAGTAGCTCCCCACAGAAGGAGTCTGAAGCAATTAATAGACTTGGGGCTGACTCTTTCCTTGTTTCCAGTGATCCTGCAAAACTGAAGGTATGTGGTTAATCAACTTTGAGAATTAGATGAACTGAAGTGCTTTTGATGTCATAGTTTGTGCTTACCGTTTGCACTTTGCAGTCAGCTATTGGTAGCATGGACTATATTATTGACACAGTGTCTGCAGCCCATCCCCTGCTTCCATTGCTTAGTTTGCTGAAGGTGAATGGAAAATTGGTCACTGTGGGATTGCCTAATAAGCCACTAGAATTGCCTGTTTTTCCCTTAGTTTTCGGTACGTTTCGATCTTTATTCATCTCATAAGTTACGATATGTCATATGTGTTCCAATTTATAAGTCTTAGTTTATTCTAAAACATTTACATACATATACATGTATATATTGGGTTACAGGACGGAAGCTTGTTGGAGGGAGTGATGTTGGTGGGATGAAAGAAACTCAGGAGATGCTGGACTTTTGTGCCAAGCACAATATAGCTGCCGATATCGAGCTGATTCGGATAGACGAAATCAACACCGCCATGGAAAGGCTTGCTAAATCTGACGTCAGATACCGTTTTGTGATCGATGTGGCGAACTCCTTGTCGCAGTAGGGTAGAGTTCATTGCAAAAGAACTACCCGGATAAAATAATTTTAAAATATTATGATCCAAGTATAATTCAATAGTTAACGGAGAGGATAAAATCGATGAACTTTTGATGGCTTGGGACTGCTGTTGGTCCCTCCTTGTATGCCCTTACAATTGTTTTATGCTGCAAGGAACCACCTATGACCTATCGTTTAATGGCACCCTATTTGTATTTCCTATTTGCAAATTATCTATGCTTTGGAGTTTTGGGACCTTTAATCGGAAAAGTGAACTTAGCAAAGAATAGGTTAGCTAAAAAATTTGACTTTTCTCCTACTGCTCTTAATTACACCGCCGTCACCACCACCGCTACAACCATCACATCAACGATATTGAAAGATGTGAGAGAGATCATATGAGATAGCTTCCAAATTTTTAATTGGTCAATATAATGTTTTCATCCTTTTATATAATACGTAACACTTTAAACAAATTAAACTATCGAATAATATATCTGTAATGTGTGAATGAGATTATAATATGATCTTAGTAGGAGTGTGTCGAATTTCAATGCAACTAATAAATATCATAATGACCAATTTTTTATTTATTTAAGTTTAAAATGTTCAATTACAATTTGTAAAAGAAAAGATTGTTGAGATTATTTATTTTAGCAATTAGGAACCCTTATGAAATAATTTTCATGAACTAATTTATGAATCGAAAATATCAGATGGCAACATGGGATGATATTGTTGTAGCACATATATATTTACTTTGATAAATTGGGCTAATTCGACCAATTTCTCTTTTTTTTATATATTTTTTATTGATTATCTAATTTCACACATTCTAAAATTTTATAATTTCGCATCCTTAAATTTTGTTTATCCAAAATATCATAAAAATTTAAATCTTGAAATAAAAGGTGCATAATGATAGTATAGAGATCTAAACTTGATTTCAAACATTGATTTAGCAAACAAGGAAACACGTGATGAGATTCATATTAAACACTCATGATTCATTAAAGGGACTAGGCCTAATATTTATACAACAGCCCAAGAAACTAACAGATTAACCGTTCTAGTAACAGACTAACAGAACAGAATTAAAAAGAGAGTAATACTTCAATATATTCCTGGTTTTAGTATTCTAATTTCTAACATTTTCTTGGTTTCAACATTTCCTTGTATTTCTTCTTGAACCTCGGCCCAAGTTCTTACTCCAGGCTGATATCGAAGTTTGTTAAACGTTGCAGGAGAAATGGGTTTGGTGAGAATGTCAGCAACTTGCTCAGTTGAAGGGACAAAATTAACAACCAGCTGTTCTGCAAGTACCCTCCCTCACAAAATGGATGTCAATCTCAGCATGTTTTATACGTGCATGATGAGTTGGATTTGCAGCCATAGAAACAGTAGAGTTGTTATCACACCAAACGATTGGTTTCCCCGTCAATTCAACACCAATCTATGCAAGCAATTGCTCTGCCCATATAAGTTCAGATATAAAGTTAGCAAGACTCATGTACTCTACTTCAGAGGTAGATCTGGAGACTACACTTTGCTTCTTGGAACACCAAGCAACCGGATTTCCTCCAAGATATATACAATAGCCAGTGGTAGAGCTTTTATCTTCAACAGAGGCTGCCCAGTCGGCATCAACATAACAAACAAGACTGAAATTCTCAGCTGAGATGACCCATGATCCAGCGTTCCACTAAGTTACCTTAGTATTCTCTTCACTGTTCGCCAATGTGAATCACAAGGATTGTTCATATACTGACTGACCTTGTTCACAGAATAAGCAATGTTAGTCCTCGTTAAACACACATACCAAAGCCCTCCCACTATACTGCGATAAAGATGGACATCACCAAACATTCATCAATCATTGGCTTTAAGCTTTGGAGCTGTCACCATTGGAGTAGGCTTAGGAGTTGCATCTACCATATCAGCCTTATGCAATAGTTCATTAATGTACATCTTTTGATTTAGGATTAATACACTAGAACTCTGCTGGATTTGCATTCCAAGGAAAAATTCCAGCTGTCCTAAATCCTTAAGAGCAAATTTAGCAATAATCTGTTGCACTATGGCATCCACTTCATTCGTCATGCTCCCAGTAATGACAATGTCATCAACATATACCATAAGTAGTACTTGTGAACACTCAGAATTCCTAATAAACAAAGTTGAATCAGCTTTGGACACAAAAAAGCCTAATTGAGTTATCAAAAAGGCCTTCAAGGTATCAAACCATGCTCTAGCTGCTTGTCGAAGTCCATTGAGAGCCTTTTTTAAACAGCACACGAGCTCCTCACCGTGTTCTCCTTTTTTCTCAAACCCTGAGGGTTGACTCATGTAGATCACTTCAGACAGCTTTCCATTCAGAAAAGCATTGTTTATGTCGATTTTTCGAAGAGTTCATTTTTTTCATTACTGTAGAGGCTAGGACAGTTCTTATAGTGATGGCATGAACTACTGGATTAAAAGTCTTAGAAAAATCTCTCCCTAGTGTTCGTGAGTAGCCTTCAGTTACTAAACGGGCCTTGTACCTGTCAACTGTCCCATCAGGCTTCTTTTTCACCTTGAACAACCATTTGCAGCCCACTAGTTTCCTTGTAAGAGGTAACGTTTGTAACTCCCAGGTATGATTTCTCAAAAGGGCTGAGTACTCACTTTCGATAGCATCCCTCCAAGCTGGATGTGGAAGAGCCTCGTATACATCAACTGGCTCTCAACTGTCTGACTCAGCAATAATCTCTTTAGGATTAAAGATTCCAGCCTTCCAACGAGTAACCATAGAGTGATTGTTGTCAACAAACCGTGATGTAAGTGGAATTGTGGATGGATGAGATGTTTGTTGAGGTGATGGTGATGGAATGGAAATAACTGAGGTGAAAAAGGATGAGGTGAAGCTTGTGGAGATAAGGATGGAGGTGGTGAACTTTGTAAAGTATGTGGAGATGAGGATGGAAGTTGTGAAACTTGTGGAGTATGTGGAGATGAAGATGAAAGTGGGGACACTTGTTGAGTAGGTGAAGATGAATATGGAAGTGGTAAAATCGAGGACTGAAGAGGTGATTTCCAACTATGACTTTGTGGGAAATTAACCTTACTATGCAAAAAAAGAAATTGAATTAAATCTGACTTCTTTGTTTGAATTTTGACTACTGGTAAAAGGAAAGAAACTCTGTTCAATTTGAAAAGGAAAATTAGCCTCTTCAAACCTAACATTTCTAGACACAGACACTCGACCACTAGGACCTAGACACTTGTATCCTCTGTGAGAAGGTGAATAACCCAGAAAAACACACTTTGAGGACCTAAATTGAAGTTTATGTTTGTTGTAAGGTCTTATTAAAGGATAACATGCACAACCAAATGTCCTTAGAAATGTATAATCTGAACACCTATTAAATAACTTTTCATAAGGGGAAATACCTTCTAGAGCTCTTGTAGGGAACCCGTTGATGAGAAACACAGCACTAGTAAAAGCATCATTCCAAAAAGACAAGGGCAGTGATGCTGGTGCTAGTATGGATAGCCCAACTTCAACCACCTGACGATGTTTCCGCTCCACTAGATCATTCTGTTCAGATGAGTGTAGACAGGACATTCTGTGAGCTATCCCTTGATCTTTCATGTACGAGTCAAGAGCACCAAACTCGCCACCTCCATCTGTTTGAAGTATCTTGAGTATGACATCAAATAGTCTCTCTACCTGCCTATGAAACTGAAGAAACACAATTTTAACCTCATATTTTTGTTTAAGAAAGTATATCCAAGTATAACTACTATATGCATCTTTGAATGCAACATAGTATCTGAACTCATTAGAAAATATAGGGGCATGACTCCAAAGATCAGAAACAATTAATTCCAGAGGCTGTCAATAAACAGTGTGTGAATCATAAAATGACAGCTTATGAGATTTGCCTAACTGGCATGCTTTGCACAGAACTTGCTCTTTATTTATACACAAAGGAGTTATATTACAATGTTTCAATGCAGTATGCAACACCTCTTTAGAGGGATGACGAAGTCTCTTGTGCCATGTATCAATAGAAACATTATGAGCATTAACAAGATTACAACTCATAGTATGCTTATTAATATCATGACTCTTACTAAAAAAATTGTTGACAACATTATTAGTGGACAAATCTAGCTTGTAAAAACCTTCAGTCTCACTTCCCTTTAACAACACCCTATGCATATGAAGATCACAAACATGACAGAAGTTTAGATAAAACTCAAGTAGAACCTGATTGTCCCGAGTAAATTTGGAAACAAACAACAAGTTTTTAGTAATTCCAGGAAAAATAATAGTTTCTTCAAGTGAAGTTGATTTTGATCAGAGGAATAAATCGAAGTTTGACATGTGTACTGAATCAGAAGAACAACACTATTACCAACTTTGACATTACCTTAACCAAGTCAAGGACTACCAACTTGAAGGTTGTTAAAGTCCTTAGTGAGGTGGTGAGTGGCACCAGAATCTGGATACCAGGTGTTGTCATCCACAGTTTATGGTGTAGCAATGAGAGCTTGAGATGCTATTGGAGGTTGTTGAAGAGTTGTAACCTGCTGAGAAGACAAATTATGAGGTGCAGAAGGAACAACATGATAAGATAGTGTATCAGTACCAATCTGAGGCACACCAACAGCAAGAAGAGAGTTATGAGCATTAAGAGGTAAAAAGCTGTAGATGTCCCTGCTGAAAGAAAGTGGAATAATTCTGTGGAGCTGTCAAAAAAGGTGCAGAAGTAAAGTAAACAGGATTATAATGAGCTTGAGTCGCATCAACACCATTGGAAGAACAGATATTTGCCTGAGCAGTTGTTTCACTACCCCTACGATTTTGAGAAGGCTAAGAAGACTTATTCTTAAAACCAACACCAAACTTATAGTAGCGCCTTTTAACAATGTGTCATATTCTGCCACATAATTGGCACTGAGGTCTAGAAGAGGAATACCTTCCATGACCGCTGCCTCTACTGTTATATTTATTCCTGGAGTAAGTATTTTGAGAGGTGTTGACAGTATATTCCTGATCCAGATTGTTGTTCTTAGTTGAAACATTACTAGTAGATGATCATTCAGTTTGAGTAGCAATATAAGCACAAGCATTGACATGATTTAGCAGATGTGATTGTCTAGTATCAACACCAAGTATAATAGTATTAATAGACCTCAAGTTAGGAGGTGTAGGACTA